TGACAGGTTGGGGCTGTGCCAAGAAGATGTGGGCCTCGGAGCCCTGGATGATTGCATTGGAGAAATCCGTGGGATACCACATAATATCTTCCTCATTTCACTCAACCATTGTCACAGACCATTAGAAAAAGTCACTGTGGACCTGGACTGTACGTCATGTGGGAGTAATAAAGTCCTGGAATAGCACTTTGAGATTTCAGACCTAATTTCCATAACTGAATTAGAATATTTTTTCTTTCCTGTTGGATCTCAGGTTTGCAATTTAGTTAATAATGGTGATCATACTCTCATTTAATAAACATTATCATCTTTGGCTCATGTAAGGCCCCACTCTCGTGTTAGAGCTCCTACCTCATTTCCCTCTGCCTATTAGTCACCCTGCTATGTGCTCCCTATGCATACTTTCTTTGTATCTGTTCTTGTTAAATAGGAAATTTTGTTTTGCAGGAATGCATTTTTAATTTATTTAGATGGTATTGTGTGAAAAACACCATTGTGCTTCATGTATTTTTTGTTGGCACTATGATTTTAAGATCCATCCATGTTGCTATATGTACATGTTCTGGTGTCTTTAATGTCTGTGTAATATTCCATAGTATGCATCCATGTTTAATCTTCTAGACTAGAGCTAAATATCCACTTTTTGTTTGACTCTCTGCTTCCACAAACAACACTACAAAAGCATCCTCCTGCATGTTCTCCTGTGGACCCTTGTGACAATAATAAACATATAGTTTATAGAGAGAGAAAGAGGAGCAGAATATGGGGTCAGAGTTTATGCACATGTGTAATTGACTGAAGGCTGCTAGATTCCTCTCAGAGCATGTAGCCAGCAGTATATGAGGGATCATTTCACCCATATCTCCACCGACTCTTGGCATTATCCAGCCTTTCAAGTTTATTCAGTTGTATAGAGGTAAAATATCTCATTATTGTTTTAATTAGCATTTCTCTGATAAAAAGTGAGTTTATCCCTTTATATGCTTGTAAGCCTTTTTGGATTTCCTCATCTATAAACTGCATTTTTTCTTAATAGGCTTTATTTTTTAGAATGGCTTTAGATTTAGAGAAAGTTTGATAGATATCACAGGGAGTCCCCACATTTCCGCCCCCGCCCCTGCACCTTCCATTATTAGCACCTCCACACTGTGATACATTTGCTGTGATGAACCAACCGCAGTTCCTTCAGATTTCCTTGGGTTTTGCCTCATGTCCTGTTCCTGCCTGGGACCCCACTCAGGGAGCCACAGCACATTCAGTCTTCGTGGCCCCTTAGGCTCCCCTTGGCTGTGATGGCTTTGCAGAAGTTTCTTATTTTTGATGATAATGAGAGTTTTGAGGAATATTGGTCCAGGTGTTTTGCAAAATGTCCATCTACTGGGATTTGTCTGATGTTTTTCTCATTAATAAACTGAGTTTATAAGTTCTTAGGAGGAATAACACAGAAATGAAGTTTCACTTTCATTCCATCATATCAAGGATATGTACTGTCTACATGATTGGTGACTATTAATGTTGACTTTGATCACCTGGCTGAAGCAGTATTTTTCAGGTTTCTCCACCGTAAAGTTTCGTTTCCTCCCTTCTATATGCTATACTCTTTGGAAGGAAGTCACTACGCAAAGCCACACATTTAAGGAGTGGGAAGTTATGCTCCCTACCCTTTAAGAGGGACTATCTCAATAATTCATTTGTAATTCTTCTGCAGGGGGATTTTGTTTCTTCTCTCTTATTTATTAATTTAAGCAACCATTTATTTATAGTAGTATAGGCTGATTTATGGACATTCATTGTATACATTCATATGCTACCATATCTATTTTGTTTCAGCTTTGACCACTGGAAACTCTTTATATTGGCTCCTGTGTCCTTTTGACTTACCCTAATTTTTGTGTTTTGTTTTATTCTGTTTTTGAGCACGTTCATTCTTTCAAGCACTGCAAAACTGTCTAAGCTCATTTTGAATATTTACTTCTCTAGTCTTAGAATAGCCATTTCTCCAAGGATTCCTAGCCCCTTTTATTGGAGAACAGTATTAGAAACCAAGATCCAAGTACTGGGTGTATTCATTGTTGCAGGGTTATGGTTTCTTTTAGGCCCTCTCAACTGACAGAGCAAATGAACATATGTATACATACTAACCCCTGTGTATGTGCACATCTATAAATGTTTCTCTGTGTAAGCATCTGACTTCTTATGGTGTTTCCCACTCTAATCCATTGCCTGGTGTTTCCCACTCTAATCCATTGCCACATGGACCATTTCAATCTCTCCTTGTTTATTTGTAAATTTTCATTCTACCTATGAGAAGCTTGGCTACTACCATCCTCCACTTAATTGTTCAATTCCTGTTTTATGTAGAGCAGTAACAGAATTGTTAACACATATCCCCAAAGGAAATAAGATGAACTGGAGTAAGTGCTAATGGGTAGTTTCTTTGCCTTTAGTCATACAGGCTCCATTTATTTCTAAAGTTGTGTAGATTGACACCCTTTTCCCCAGCTTCTTTGGTGAAGTTGTTTCATACGTCTGTAATATAGTGAGATTCTCTTGTCACGGTCTGCATTCTTTCCTAGGATCCTTGACCTCCTGAGAAATATTTGAAAATTGCATGCATACTATTTGTGTTCTATAGTTCTATGGGTTTTAACAAATGCATGGTGTCATTTATCCACCATTACATATTATATAAAATAGGGTAACCACTCTGAAAATACTTCTGCTCCACCTGTTCATTTGATTGTTGCATTTTAATTTTTTCCTTCATGGGTTTTGTTACATTTTCTAAATTTTAATGCTTTGTTGGTTTTAAAGTTACAAATACATTATTGATCTGCATTATGTCTGTGAACTTTACCCCTGGTATCCTTTGTTGAACACAACTCCTTGATATATTACAATTGATTAATACTCCGCCTATGGTTTGTCATTTTTGAATTTTTCATGAATAGGCATTTCTTAACCACCATGTTATGAATATATTTACCTGAGTTTTTCTCTTAACTCCAGAGAATTATTCTTTTACTTTAGAGTCTTTGCTGCAGTCGTAGTCTACCTTGGTATGTGCTGATAGGATTCCAATTTAATTTTTCTACATATGGTAGCAAAATTCTACACCATTTGCAAAATAACCTTTTCACATTGATTTCTAATGTGACTACTATAGTGTTTTAAGTTCCTACATATACCTGGACTTCTATTGTGTTTAACTATTTGCATATTATTTTATTATGTATTGTTTATGTGGCTTTGTATTATGTTTTAATATCTAGCTATGTACATTCCACACATCACTCTTCTTTTTTATGTTTCTTTGTTGTAGACTTTTATATTTCTGTATGCATTTTCATATAAGGATTTTAAGTGACTGATAAAAAAAATCATCTGGAATTTTAAAGGGGGATTGCATTTAATTTATAGATAAATTTGAAGAGAATTGATGTTTTTATGATAGTGAGTCATTCACTCCTAGAGCATGGATTGTCCTTTCAGTTATTCAGACTGTATTTTATAATTTTGTTAGGATTTTAAACTTTTCTGAATGCCTGAGCACTTTTTAGACGATTTTCTCCTCTTTCTCTGCCTAAGGTTGAATCCACTACAATTCAACCTCCCTCTCCTACTAATGTCCCCAACTCAAGACAGCCTGTAGGGGATTCTTTGGCCTCAGACTCTCCAAGTGTTCTCAAAATTGTTATTATTATGGTTGTTAGTTCCTCACATCATCTTAGTTTTCTTTCACATTATCAGTGTTCTAAGCTTGATTTTGGAGGAGAGAGGGCCACTGCTTGATTTACTTTGTCATGATAAGCTAGGGTGCAATTTGATGCTGTTAAACCTGTTTGGGTGAGGCTGTGTACTGGTTTTGTGTGGGGAGAAAAGCGGATGGAGTCACTTACTTGACCCATTTCAGTACCTATAAAATACAGGCCTGACAGGAAACTGCAGATCCAGGTGTAAGAGTATAAACGGAGGCCCACAGAGCATATGTCCACATATCTGTAAGTTTGAAATCAAGCTGACAAGCTGTTAAGTAAATAAAATATGTTCTATCCTTTTAACTTGGCAAATATACGTTCAATACAACCTGAAAATCCAGGTTTAAGTTTAAAAACCTTAGATTCCTCTGAACTCTGTAACAGAACTTGACAGAATGCAGAAAGCCAGCCTCCAGCCCATAGCCTGTCCCTGTTTTCCTTCCCAGTTCCCTCTCTGTCCAGCTCTGTGATGGTCTCATACATACTCACGCACAGACCGTGACCCTTATGCCTAAACAAACGACTGCCTCTAGGCCCACCAACAATGTGGTCTACCTACCTAGAGAGGAGGCCTGTGCTAGGAGCCTCCATGGCAGTGTGGCATCCTGGGTACAGAGTGAGGTCTGGAAGGAGGAAAACTGGATTCTTGGATGGCCATGTCCCTTTGGCCCCATAGTAGCCTGATCTTATGTGGAGGGTCCTGGCTGGATGAAGGCTGAACAGGGTGCCCTAAAGTGGGGTGCCCAGAGCTGGGGCTCTGTGTGCCTGGGTCTAAGGGAGGTATTGGTCAAATTTTATGTTCCATTCAGGTTTTGAAAAAAGAAATGCAATTCCATTTAAACTCTGAAGAGGTATAGTTATTGCAACATGGTTGCAAGGGTGAGCTTTCTGCTGGGGAAGTCAAATGAGCTGTGGGTTATGAGAAGAGAGATTAGCTTCTTCCAAATCCCTTTTCTTTCTGTACTACCTGCAATAAGCAAATATGAATCACAAGTTCCCTCTTTCCAGCCCAGCTATTAAATGAGGGTAAGAGACCTAAAATAGAGGCTGGTAAGTGTGGATGGTGACTAGGCAAAACATGCCACCTTTGAATGAAACCTCACTAAGTATGGATAGCACTGTAGTTTGAAAGTTGTGTTCTGGTTGGGTTTAAAATCAAGTAATGTGTTGACTTAATTATCTGTATATAGATAAAGGGCCCAATCCTGAAAAGTCCCCACCATTGATGTTCTTAGCATTTTATTAAATGGGCAAAAGGAGTCTTTTATTGAGAAAAAGAAGATGAAGAGGGCAAGATACAAAGCTTGTTCCTATTTTGTACAGATTGTGTTCTGGCCTGGCAGTTGTGCAAATTGATCTCTGATCAGGAGGGGTCAACTATACCATATTTGATATAAAGTAGTGGAAAAAAATCACATCTTCTAAGTTTGCAAGTCAAGAGACAGTGGTGTTTAAATGGTCATTTACCTTCCTTCCTGGACCTCAAATCCTTGTGAGTAGATGAATGATGAATCGTGAGGCCCTCACTGCTCTCGCAGCACACCCGAAATTCTGGGTGGATCTAGGCTTGTGGTAGGTGCTCTGATAGCCTGAGTTTCTGGGTAGAAATCCAATCTTTTGTTTGGTGTTTCCCATATACTTGCAAAAATTTAAGCAGAGGAGTGGAGGCGTTGCCCAGCCTCTCAGACAGGTGCTCCTGAGAGGACTGCGTCTGCTCTTCAGCTGAGTAGCTAAACCATTGCACATCCTGGCTTCATGGTTGTTTTTCAGGAATAGCTAAGAACTAGAAGATCTGAAAGACATATTTTCAAAAGCAATGACCTATGCTGAATTTATGGCAATAACAGCATGGATGTAAAATTTTTACATCAGTATACTTAAGCATTTGCATTAGATGACCATGCCTTTGATTAGAGAAACAATTGTAGAATAGAGTTCTGCTAATTAAAAGTTATGTAATTGACTTTATGTAAATGACAGTTGATGAGAGTATGATTTTATTTGATTAAAATTAATCATAGATTTCATCATTGCAGTCTTTTGAGTTAATAACTGACGATCCTTCACAATGTAATTCTCTGCTATTTTACATAGAAACAACCAATTAGAAGTTAGAGTAATGGCTGAGTATACTATTGGTTTCACTTGAGTATATTAGACATCGTAATTGGGAACACATGAAATGACAATGAGCCATTTGTATGACAAACTGGATGAGAAAACAATATTCATTTTTTTCTCATCTATGTTGTCTATAGCATTTTTGGCCTTATTCTGACTCTGCATTAGTTTCCTAATTTAATCTGATTAGTTTTATAATATCCAAACTCATTCTATGAACTACTTCTCATATTACTGATATGGAAAATAGTTTTTAGAAATACTGGTGATTTTGTTTCTGCACAGCAGGTCAACATTTGATTTAGGCTTCTATTTACATTATTTTTCCAACATTAGGAGTGCTTTGTCATTTTCTGCATGACCACTGCCAAAGACAAATGTGTTGGTCTTAGAGTTTTGTGTAGATAAGTAAACATCTGCAAATATTTTGATACTCCATTCATTCAAAAATACAGTCTATATTACCCCCTGTACCTTGAAACTGGGTGGGTCTTTGCCCTACTTAATGAATAGAATGTGGTAGAAAGGATGCTCCTGACTTTTGAGGGTCAATTAGATGAGATAATGTAGGAATATCCTTTGAAAAAGTAATAGTGTGTAGAAAATGAACTATTTCACTGTTTTTTTTCATTTTTTTCTTACCCAATCTTAGCTGGAGCTTAATAGTGAGAAGATCGTCATACTCTACAACGAACACTATCTTTTAAGAGAAAAAATGAGTTGAATTTCTCTCAAAGTTTTAAACATTCTCAGGAACTAAATGAAAAATTTAGATGGATTATCTGGTCTCCCGTTACAAAGTTGCAAAGTTGACACATCTGTTATAATCTCTGAAAATAAAACTGAACATTCTGTATCTTCTTAACTTGGCCCCAAGCTTTTCCTGTACCAGTAGAGCTGCAGCACAAAGTAAGCACATTCCAGGTGATTGCATGCTATCAATTTTATTAAAGCCTGATTTCAGAATTGGTGTCTGCACATCCATCTGCATTTACATGTGCCATGCACAAGGTGGAGGCAAAGATTTTTGTTTGAAGGAGGCATTCCTTCCTAAGGCTTTTCCATGGTGCTGCACACAACAGATGCAAGATCCATACTTCTGATATTGAAGAGTGAGGGCACAGTCACCTAATCATTGTTAGAAACTTTCTTACTGGGGTAGAAGCAATGTCAGAATCCCAACTCCTGAAGTATGGGGTGAGTAAGTAGGTATTATTGTTAATTGCAAACTACAATTTGCCAAAAAATCACACAAATTATGAAACAAGAGTGTAATACTTTTAGGTACAATTAGGTACTTTCCTGGTCTGATGGGAGAAGAATATCTCAGATCCTGGAAGAAATGGACAAGGGTAAAATAGCCCTTGGGAAAGGACATCTTTTGACTTGATTATCTATGAGTGGGTTTTCTTTAATGGAATACAAAAATTTCATACCATAATTGACAAAATTCTCATAACGCAAGGGCAGATTGATGTAAAACAGTGCTAGAAATTTACGTTGCCAGGTATAATCCATTTAGCAAACAGGTACTTAATTAGTTGACCTCAGGTGCTCTCCTTTTTCTAGTTTGGGTGAGGACTCCAAGCTTCTCAAGTAGTGATTTGTAGACTTAGCTGCACAGCAAGTTCCATTTAAGACTGATTAAATCTGGAGCTCTGAGATGGGGTCCTGGGCAACTCTTCTGTTTATTTTTCCTGCCTTCAAAATTCTTCACATGGTTCTAATATGCAGCTAGGTTGAGAATCACTTATCTGTAGGTTGGGTGGGTGTGAAAATTCTGTGTTGGGAAGGGCTGCACTCAAAGGGAGAACAGAAGCACAAAAAGACAATATTCTAAGCCTTCTCATTTATTTTTAGTGATTTGTCTCCAAATGGAAATTGGGCAAACTATTAAGTTGCTTAAATTATTGCTTCATTAGAGTGTATTGCTTTTTGACATAATTTCTAATTAAATGACATAATTAGAAAAAGACATAATAGAAAATTTTTAATGTGTTTTCTTGAAGTATGTTTTCAAATTAAAATCTCCAAAAAATGCTTTGTTTTTCAGGGGAGGTATTAATACACTAATCCTGAGTAGCCCATTTAAGGCGATGGTTGTTAGGTGATTAATGTCTTTAGAATCATGTGTGGAATGACTTAGGGATTCAGAAAAACACAGGCAATATTGAAACTTGAAAGACTATAAACTTTGTAAAGGACAACAAAAGTGACAGAAGGTTTATGTGACAGTTGTTTTATGTGTAAACTTGGCTAGGCTGTGGTGCCCATTCATTTAGTCAAAATATTAGCCTACACGTTGCTCTAAAGGTATTTTGTAGCTGTGATTAACATTTACTACCAGCTGACTTTAAATAAAGGAAATCACTCTTGATGATGTGCATGGTGTCATCCAATCAGTTGAAGGTCTTAAAAGCAGAAACTAAGGTTTCCCAGAGCAGAAGAATTCTATCTCAAGACTTTAATGTGGAAAAACTGTGAGTTTCCACACTGTCGGCCTGCCTTACAGCCTTCAGACTGGTCAGCTACACAATCGTGTAAGTCAATTCCTTAAAACAAGTTTCTCCATTTCTCTATCTCCTATTCTATTTCCCTGGAGATCCCTGGCATAATCTTTATAAATGTTATTCATAGAAACAAAGTATTGTTGGTTTCTATTATGGTGAGGGCCCCGTTTTTTGGAAAAAGATGACATTTAAGGTGTAAAAGGAGAACTACCCATATAGTAGACATTAAGTAGTAAAATCAGCTATGGTTGACAGATGGAAATTTAAAAACATCTCTTTAATGTAGAGAAGCATAAGAAGTAAGCATAAATTTTGGTAGTATCTTCTTAAAAGATCTCTGCTTCCTATAGAGTGGAACAAATACATATATGAGTATGTATGTAAAGTCTAAAAATAAAATTCCTGTATTCATGATGGAATATTTGGGTCAGCAATTCTTAGTATAAAAAATGGTGAAAGGTGTTCAGAATTTGCTGGAAAATATACGTGGGGGAAACAAAGTACTACTCAATCATGTGATGTTTATTGAATACTTAGTGACAAAATGCCTGGAAAGGCATAAAAATACTTGACCAAACTGGAATATTTAGTAGTACTTAACAGTGTAAATGTAATTTTTTAAATAAGAACAGAGTAGACCTTTCTAACATTAATTTCTCAGAGCAATAATTCTGGGTGATATCCAAAGGGGGTGAGTGGTTAAATTTAGGGAATATTAAATTGTATATGGTAAATTGTGACTCTTTAAGGCAGATAGACTACATTGCTCCCAAAACTATTTTGATCAGGCAACACACTCTTCAAGTATGCCCATTAATCTTGTATGGCATGCTGAACACTAAGTCTCTGTTTTGTTCTTTTACTGTTATGTGAGGCCACTCATTTGCCTTTATGCAATCTCCCTCTTATATTTTTATCAAAAGTATTTACTTCACAGAGTTGGTTTTGAAGCTTTGGTGAGGTAATTTTGGAAGGCAAAAACTTTTAAAGATCTAAATGGTAAATATGTGGTGGATAGCTCGTTGCTTTTTTACTGCATGGCATCTAAAGAGCTTCCCTGTGTGAGGTGAATTTCCTAGTTTGGAATCTTTATGGGAGGTAGGGCTGCATCTTCTACTACAGAAGCTGTGAGGGGGCAGGCATTTCATTTTCCAGTCCCTGGCAGCTGACGTCTTGGGCATTGACCTGGTTTAATGAAATGCTCCTTGCAGAGACTCAGAATTGTGAGGAGTGACCAGGAGGTGATTTTGGTGAATGTGACTCCAGTTATATTTGCTATAAATGTGCTTCAACTCTACCATCTACATCTACCATGAGTTGAATTCAGATTGCTTAACTATACAATATGGAAGGTTTTCCTTGACTTATTGTATTGGTTTCACAAAGTTATTTATGCTGAAAATATGATCTTTCAAAGCAAAATATATTAAGTTAGAACACCTTTTTCTGTGGGCCAAGACACACAGAAAGAATATATGTAGTCTGTATATATTGTAAATTAAGCTGAAATCATGTTTTTAGAACTTTGACTCAATAAATTGCTTTGAGGATTTATCTTTAGTAAAAAAACAAAAACAAAAAAAACCCAAGCACTTCAGGCCACAAAGATTTTCTTTATGCAAGGAAGAGCCTACCTAATTGATGCCATACAACTTGCAGCTGGGAGCAAGAAGGTATTCTCAGGAGGGTTCCTTCCCCCCCTACCCCACCCCCTTTGTGTAAAGAAGTGAGCTATCCCAGGCTGTTTATGGTGGAAGGCTGGCTAACTTTTCCTTAATGGTACCTAGTAAGCCTGTAAGGCAACAGGGAAATGGAGCTCTGTGTTGGGAATTGTAGATTCTCAATGTTCTAGAAAAAAGCAGGGGCTTATGAAATCGAGGCCGTCTACTGCAGTATCTTTGGGACACTCACAGGAACGGTGCTGAAGATCAATACTGTAACACCAACCTCAGTGGCATTTATGGGTTGCATTATATTTCAATTTATTTTGATAGCAAATCATTATGAGATATTGTTGCTGATAAAAAGCAGGGAGTATCCCAGCTGTCTCCCCAGGGGGTTTTGCTTGGGGACGGCCATCAGATGTCATTCCTGGGGTGGTTCCAGCTCTAGGTCTATGAGAATAATGGAAATGTTAGAAAAGCAGAGCTAATGGATGATAATATAATACTGCTCAACAGGTACATATAAGGTCAAGTTATTTTTATATTTAAAGATAAATTTGTCTAGCATGACCCATATGTCACTACAGCCCACCTGATAGGTCCAGAATAAAAAATGTAAGAAATCTGTAAGACTTGTATAGAAAGCCATCACTGTTGTTATGCCAAGGTACATCCCACAGGTTCTTCTTTTTCTTTGAACTAGTGATGCAATCCTGCTCTGAGAATGAATAATTGCAGGCAGAACAAAGCAGCAATCAATAGTACATGAGGTTCCCTGGTCATGGGACTGAGGTATAGTTCAGTAGTTATTTAAGTAAAGCAGTGAGCGTGAGTTTTATCAAATCACCTTCTAATTTATAATGAAGCAAATGTGTCTCCCCCTTGGCTTTTTCCCTCCAATACACTACAAGGGTCATACCATAATTCTATTTTCACAGAGCAAGAAATTCCATTTTTCATTGCTCTCAGTGAGTTTAAGCCTTGGAGTGAGGATGAGATGGTGGACATATCTGTGCTTCGCTCCCTTATGTCTCTCTCATTATATAGGCACGTGGCCATGTGGAGTGTGATTCTGGTAGTATTTTCTATCCAGCCTGATTCTGCAGCATGAGCCAACTCCTTTATCTGTTTGCAACACTTTTCCCAAAGCTGAAGGAAAAAAGATAACTGGCTTTGTGGGAATTAAGAGGCAACAATTCCCTCTCTAATGGGGCATGCAAATGTGGCCATAATCAATTTTGAGGCTTGGAGAAAAAATAGTCAAAGGAACCTATGGTCAAGATCACAACCCAAGTATATAATAAGACTTCAGTTAAAAATGAAATAGCATCAAACTGTTGACTGGAAGACATAAATTGTAGGTGTCCCCATCTTTCAGTACACCTTGAGACAAAGGCTTCAGCTACTAAAAGTTGTTCAAGTCTCTCAGAAGGGGTAGGCTTTCTATGAAAAGAAATACATAGCCAGCTGAAATGGGTTTAATAGTTTGAGGAACTGCTTTCCATTAAATGACATGTGCCACTTCTGCCATTGAAGAGCTTATCCATTAAAATAAAAAAAATCATAGAAGGACATGGGTATATTCTAAAGCAATTTACAATATGCTAAAAAGACTGGTCTATCTGGGGGAAAAAGTGCTCAGTGTTTGGAATCATTAAGTCCTGGGTCTAGAGCAGCTCATGACTGGGACTGCGTCACTTTTGGGCAATGCTGCTGCTAACTGAATGAATCCAGGGTTGTCCTATAAAGCTACAAAATTCTCCCTGGAACCCAGGGACCACAACTGGCTGGCAGTGTTCTAGAAACCTAATAAAACACTTAGCCTGTGGCGCCATTATCTATGGATATCAAGTGCCCTAGACCTACAATCTTGTGAGCAAGGTATTTGCTTTCTCAAAGCCATCCAACTGTTAATACAACAATGTTTGGTAGCCCTTTGTTATTGCATATTATGATTATAATAGCAGGCAGTGAAGAAAATTGAGCTCAGAAGAGTCAGTGCATGTTGTTGAAATCTAAGGAAGGAATATGAGTGATTTCATTTTTAGGAGCTTCCCACTGATGACTGAAATGTGTTTGGGTAGCCAAAAATTGACACAGAAATTGAAGGACTAATTAAAGGCCATAGGAAATTATTGACTAATACAGGAGAGATGATTTTTAAAAATCTATAGAAGGGGAAAAGCAGATGGCTGAAGCAGAAGAATCAGTATTAGAATCTTCATTAATATCATCAAAAAAAATTGAGTTCATCTGTTGACTTAGTGTTAAAAGTATTTCTGAAAGTTTAGGTTAAAAGAAATCTCTTAATCCATCAAATTAGTGTTGCTGCCCCTTCTCTTAGGATAACCTCTGCTATTTCAATTCGTGCTCCCAGAGCCTGAGAGAATATATGTGAGACACCAGGGAAAAGTACTGAGTTCCTAAAGTGTAACATGGTCTGGTGAAAACAAACTCTCAGGGGCAGAGTTTTCACATAGTTTTCTAAATAATCCTAATTCTTATTAAAGCTTGAGATAACTTGAAGAGTAAGAGGCGAGGTAACTGTTGTACATTGGGATTTTTAACTCTATAAAGATTAATACAGATTGAGACGGAGAGTGGATTAATTCAAATGGATGACAAGAAATAGTTTAGCAGCAACGGAAACCAGATACAATTTTTATCTCTAAAATATTTACACTGCATGTACTTGGCTTTTACTGTTTTGGAGGTATGATTGATGACATTAGTTTCAGGTGTGCTTTTAATTTCCCCCCAGAAATTATTCAGAGAACTTACTTTCCCCTTAGAACATAATATCTGTATACCAAAGCACAGGAATATATAGGAAGGGCAACTTGTTTCAGGTTGGATTCGTATCATCAGTAGAAGCAGCAGCAGGAAGAACTTTGCCAGTATTACTGCTACTATTTTATATGTATCATCATCTCCCTAGTCATTGCAGCAGTGCAGAGAGAGATTGCAATTTCCTTAAGGAAATTGAGCTTTGAGTATAAATAACTTGCTCAAGTTCACAAAGAAAAATAGTTGGAGTGGGGAATCTAATCCGGATTGGTGACAGCTATTTCCTTGACCACCCTATCATACTGCCACTGAGTGTTCATTTTCTTTTTTACTGTTTCAGATGACTCAGTAGTTGATAGCTAAAAGCCTAAATATAATGGAATGATTTAATTTTATTAGTAAGTGGCTTTTGCGTCCATGTCATGTTGGGGAAAGTGAGTAAATCAGCAAAATAAAAATTTTACATTATTGAAAAGCCTCAGTTCAGTGAAGGTCTGAGATAAACCAAAACAATTATCTTCATCATTTTTTAATCTCAGAAGTAATATCTCTAAAATGAATACAATTAAATCTTGAGAGAAAATATTTTGTTGAAATGTGCAGAGTTGAGCTCACCTTAAGTGTAAAGTATGGAGGTCTGTCTAAATTATTTTATGGTCTTAATATCTCCATCAGGCATTTTTTAAAGGGTGAAAATGTAATATCTGAAAGAAGCAAGTGACAGTATTTCAACAGTGTTGCTTTAATTTGAAGACTGCTTCTTTCCTCCTAAGAACCCTGCTATGTTATCTTTAAGACTTGATGGACTCTGTTTAAACATTTTTTTTCTCTATTGAGTGTTTCAGAATCCCTGTAATGATCTCCACACTGCCATCTTAGATGTGAGGTCATGAGGGATATACAACCAGGGTCAGGACCTGGATTCTAGTTGTAAATATGCGAGAAGTTGGTTATGTATACTTGTGTAAACTCCTTAACTTTTCATATGCTTAATATTCTCATCTGTAAAATGAGTTTGAATAGATAATGGAATAAATAACTTGCATAGTCTTCTTCCCATGCTATGATTTTTAAAATATATTGTATGAAGCTGGGTTCTTTGTTGCTTTAAAAAATATACTTACCTAAGACAGTACACATGGATCAGGTCTATAGGACATTTTTCATTTCAGTGTCGATCTGAAATGAAAAAGGATGTTATCTACGTCATCAGTATTTTATTTGTAGACTATCATACAGAAGGCATATGCAAATTATAACCTTAAAGCAAAGGATTCTTGTCAAAATTCAGTTTTATATTAAACTTGTCATTCTTCACATTTTTATATTGTCCTTCCCCTTGAAGAATTTAGTGTTTCAAATATAGACAAGAAAAAAATGATGACAGAGTAACTACTAACTTTTGAATATGTCCAGAATGTTAAGGGACAACAGGAAAGCTTGAGTGCTAGGGAAGGATTCCCAGAGAAAGTGATGTCTAAATGGAATCCTGAAGCTTGATGAAAGATTTACTCAGATTCTGGAGTGAGGATAGGGCCATGTGGGGTGAGTCATGTGCAAAAACCTTGAGGTAAGAGCAAATTTAATATACTTGGAAAACTGCAAGTAGTTCAGGACAACCAAAGCTGGAGGAACAAGAAGTAATGGTGGATCAGGTTGGGGAGGAAATCAAAGGTTCAATTCTTGAGTGAAAAAAAAAAAAATCATTATAGAAGCAGTGGAGACAAATTAGAGGGATATACAGTTGACCCTCAACTCATATTTGAACTGTGTGAGAACACATATGTGGATTTTAAAAAAAAAGACACTGGAAATTATTTTTGGAGATTTGCAAACATTTGAAAAAACAGTTTTCTCTAGCTTTATTGTATGAATATAGTATATATACATATACAAAATATTAATTGATGTTATCAATAAAGTTTCTGGTCAACAGTTGGCTATTAAGTTTTGGGGGAGTCAAAAGTTTTATGTTGGTTTTAGACTGTATGGGGGATTGGCACCCCTAAACCCCTCAGTTTCAAGGGTCAACCATGTTATCCATTTTGTGTTTACAAATGTCATTTTGACCTTAGTGTAGAGTTGGGGTGTGAAGTACTGGGGAAGGACTGAAGATAGGAGACCAAATGGGAAGCTGTAATCCAGGTAACATATTGGCCTGAATTTAAATACCAATAAGCAGAAAGAAAGGAGGTGGGAGACAGCGATATTGAGAAGTTAGAATTTATAAGGTTTTGAATTTAATTGGATGCATATGGGAAAAAAAAGGCAAAACAGGGATCATGGTTTTTATCTTGGACAAGAGCTAAATGGTGGTGATATTCATAAGTTTAGGAAATACAAGAGGAGGTTTTAAGGGGAAGATTCCAGACACTGAGTTTGAAGTTCATTTGGGACAGCAGAGCACCATAAACAATTGGCAAGAAAGCATGGTATTGAGGTGAACAATCATAGATGGGGGTAGACGTCTGGAAATTAAAGGCATTTCTGTGGGTGAGAACACTGGGGGGGAAATGCAGTTTCATGGAAATTGAAGAAGACCAATGGAAAAACCTCTGGAAAACACATTTAAGAGATGGCTCAAAGAGGACAATGTGAAACAGAATGAGAGGGGACAAATCATAGGAGGACGAAAGGTAGAATATGATAATACAGATGCCAGACATTCCTTCAAGAAGAAAGGAGTAGTTGTGGGTATCAAGCATCCTGCAGAGAAGGCTGATAAGGACTGAAAAATGTTTACTGGACTTAGCAAGGAGATTGTCAGTGTGACCTTGTCATTAGTGGTGTGTGCCATCAGAAGCCATACCGCAAAGGGTTGAGGAATTGACAGGAGGTGTAAAAAATGAGTATATACTAATCTTTTAAGAGTCTTGGCTGTAAAAGGAAGGAAAAGCAAAATAGCTAGGGAATAGTGTCTAAAGTATCTTGTTTTTTAAGATTAGGAGATAAGGAACTTTAGAACCATTAAAAAGATATTGTTGAAGGAAAAGAAAAATAATTAAGGAAAGATGATTCCAAGGTAGTGGGATGAATGGATTCAGGATAATACTACTGATCTGGTACCATTTTTGCTATTGAACAATAATTTAAGATTTTCAGTCTACAGTAGTCTTTTGGTATCAATACTTGGCTTTAGTCATTAACTAAATTAGGGCTAAAGTCTATAACAATGACATGAAATGAGAGTAACAGACTCCTTGAAATAAACTTATGTAAGGTTACATGACAGGAGAATCGTATCTTACTCAACCCATGTGTAAAAGAGGAGTTAAAATGGTACCTAACATTTAGAATTGTTTTAGATTATTCCATAAGTACATACATGCAAAGCTCTTAGTATTCTGATTAACATACTGTAATGGCTTAATAAATGCTAGCTATGACACTGAGGATGACAAAATCTGAAAGACGTAACAAACTATAGTGGATATGCCAGTTTCCTTGAAGTATGAGAGAGAAGAAGAAAGGGGGTGAGAAGGGGAGAGTCCGTCAGTCTCCTCTTTGCCCAGCTTCCACTCGGCTATTTGCATTTGTCTGTTTTCAAGATTTTAAGGGTCAATTCTAGCATATACAAGTAGTTCAGGACAACCAAAGCTGGAGGAACAAGAAGTAATGGTGGATCAGGTTGGGGAGGAAATCAAAGGTTCAATTCTTGAGTGAAAAAAAAAAAAATCATTATAGAAGCAGTGGAGACAAATTAGAGGGATATACAGTTGACCCTCAACTCATATTTGAACTGTGTGAGAACACATATGTGGATTTTAAAAAAAAAGACACTGGAAATTATTTTTGGAGATTTGCAAACATTTGAAAAAACAGTTTTCTCTAGCTATATTGTATGAATATAGTATATATACATATACAAAATATTAATCAATTGATGTTATCAATAAAGTTTCTGGTCAACAGTTGGCTATTAAGTTTTGGGGGAGTCAAAAGTTTTATGTTGGTTTTAGACTGTATGGGGGATTGGCACCCCTAAACCCCTCAGTTTCAAGGGTCAACCATGTTATCCATTTTGTGTTTACAAATGTCATTTTGACCTTAGTGTAGAGTTGGGGTGTGAAGTACTGGGGAAGGACTGAAGATAAGAGACCAAATGGGAAGCTGTAATCCAGGTAACATATTGGCCTGAATTTAAATACCAATAAGCAGAAAGAAAGGAGGTGGGAGACAGCGATATTGAGAAGTTAGAATTTATAAGGTTTTGAATTTAATTGGATGCATATGGGAAAAAAAAGGCAAAACAGGGATCATGGTTTTAATCTTGGACAAGAGCTAAATGGTGGTGATATTCATAAGTTTAGGAAATACAAGAGGAGGTTTTAAGGGGAAGATTCCAGACACTGAGTTTGAAGTTCGTTTGGGACAGCAGAGCACCATAAACAATTGGCAGAAAGCATGGTATTGAGGTGAACAATCATAGATGGGGGTAGACGTCTGGAAATTAAAGGCATTTCTGTGGGTAAGAACACTGGGAGGGAAATGCAGTTTCATGGAAATTGAAGAAGACCAATGGAAAAAACTCTGGAAAACACATTTAAGAGATGGTTCAAAGAGGACAATGTGAAACAGAATGAGAGGGGACAAATCATAGGAGGACGAAAGGTAGAATATGATAATACAGATGCCAGACATTCCTTCAAGAAGAAAGGAGTAGTTGTGGGTATCAAGCATCCTGCAGAGAAGGCTGATAAGGACTGAAAAATGTTTACTGGACTTAGCAAGGAGATTGTCAGTGTGACCTTGTCATTAGTGGTGTGTGCCATCAGAAGCCATACCGCAAAGGGTTGAGGAATTGACAGGAGGTGTAAAAAATGAGTATATACTAATCTTTTAAGAGTCTTGGCTGTAAAAGGAAGGAAAAGCAAAATAGCTAGGGAATAGTGTCTAAAGTATCTTGTTTTTTAAGATTAGGAGATAAGGAACTTTAGAACCATTAAAAAGATATTGTTGAAGGAAAAGAAAAATAATTAAGGAAAGATGATTCCAAGGTAGTGGGATGAATGGATTCAGGATAATACTACTGATCTGGTACCATTTTTGCTATTGAACAATAATTTAAGATTTTCAGTCTACAGTAGTCTTTTGGTATCAATACTTGGCTTTAGTCATTAACTAAATTAGGGCTAAAGTCTATAACAATGACATGAAATGAGAGTAACAGACTCCTTGAAATAAACTTATGTAAGGTTACATGACAGGAGAATCGTATCTTACTCAACCCATGTGTAAAAGAGGAGTTAAAATGGTACCTAACATTTAGAATTGTTTTAGATTATTCCATAAGTACATACATGCAAAGCTCTTAGTATTCTGATTAACATACTGTAATGGCTTAATAAATGCTAGCTATGACACTGAGGATGACAAAATCTGAAAGACGTAACAAACTATAGTGGATATGCCAGTTTCCTTGAAGTATGAGAGAGAAGAAGAAAGGGGGTGAGAAGGGGAGAGTCTGTCAGTCTCCTCTTTGCCCAGCTTCCACTCGGCTATTTGCATTTGTCTGTTTTCAAGATTTTAAGGGTCAATTCTAGCATATAACAGTGGTGTTCTTAAAACTGTGGGAAGTCATAGTTAATGCCCACTAACACTTTGCTGGGACATCTTAGAGGAAGCATAGTAATAGGTTTATGGGAGAATGAATAGGGATGCCTTGTCTGAATGATGGTGGGAGAGAAAAAAATTTCAATCTAATTTTGCAACTGTGTTTTTGCAGTCAATGGGTGTCTGTGGAGTTAAAAAACAAAACAAAACAAAACAGTTCTGAAAGTGCCATGGTGAAACCAAAAGAAAGTTTCACTGGTGATTCTATTTCCTAGTCATTTCAAGGTCAGGGTGAGGGTAGGGGGTAGGTCACCACACAATGAAACATTATGTTCAGAAGCTCCTTTTGCTATTCCTCAAATGGCTGTAGCAAGTATATTTAAACTGGCAGGTAGAAATGGATCCCTGGATATGAGTTGGAGTGAATGTAGTAGATGGGCCTTCCCTTTAAGGAGAAAAATTGTCAATCAAATATAGGAAAAGGTGATTTCAGAATAGATTAAAGCCCAAATATTGTAGGGTAATGGAACAAATATTCACACTAAGCACTGATGAGTGGATGCTTAGATTTTTGCCTTAACAGAGTCAGAAAGTAGAGGTGAGCTTGCTGACCTAGCTATAAGATCAACGTAGGAAGATACAATGGAAACACCAGAGAGTCTGATCTGAGTGCTCTAAATAATCGAATGTGCACAAGTATTCTCAACACCATTCATCTTTAGCCATTACTGAAAGCATGGCTACTCAGGAGCAGCACTGCTATAAATTTACTTATTGTAAAGCAAGAAAAAATAAAGTTACAAACCCGCCTTCTCATTCATCATTGTAGTTGAAATAAAATTTTAAAATGGCAATATGTTATAATGAAAAATATACTGAGAAGCAACTCAGCAAAAAGCAAGAGACTCAAAGGTAGCATGCATTTTAAGCATAAAGTTCAATTTGTCTTGTGTGATGGAAAAAAGGAAAATGTGTATTTGGATAAACAGACAAAGGGACGGGAAAGGGTTATAGACATGCTACTTTTGACAGAGGGTAAATAAAATAAACCCACAAAAGACCTTTTATAATGACTGAATGCGACCCTCAGCAAATTATGCTGGTAGCAAAAACTTCAGGTAAGGTGATTTTGTTTGTTTGGGATAAGACAACCTAAATTCAGCTTTTCTATTACTCAAAGCAAGTTGGTAATAAAAGAAGGGACTGTTCAGTTGTTTCATGGCCAACGTTTAATGCCAATAGTGATCAAAATATCGAAACAATTTGACTCTTGCAGTTTTTATTTAGGATCTCAATAGGTTGAACTTTAATAAAAGATGAACATGATATATTTCTCAACAGAATTTTAAAAACAGGCTTTTGTTCTACTCCCTTCTGGAATTGACTTTTAAAATTGTTACAAGCAAGATTAACAAATAGGTTGTAATTGAAATGTAAATGTAGAAACTAGAAATAATCTCTGAGGGTGTAAAGAAGAAAAATGAATGAGGTGATGTAGCTCAAATTGTCAAACTGATCAAGGCTGTCAGGTACTGTACAGCAGAGGACAGAACTTCACTGAAATACTGAGAATTGGTATACGGAGCCCAGACTTAAACATGCGCATGTGTGTGCGCGCACACACACACACACACACACACAAACACAAACACTTTACACAGTCTAATTTTTAAAGAGCCACTTCAATTACGAAAGAGATGCTCCTGAGAACAGGGAAGAGACATTTGCTAGTTGGTAGAGAAAATCACACGAGACAGAAAGGGAATATCTTGGCTTAACTCGTAGAATGTCCTCATACATGAAGCTACGCGGCAGTGCAACAGGCTACCTCTAAGAGCAAATAAACTGACTACAGGTATTGGTAGAGGCTGAAGGAATCCACTCAGTGAAATGTTACACTAAGTGACCTTTATGTTTTTTTCTGATATTTAAACTTTCGTGATTTTTATTTAGTTCTTGGATATTTTCAAATGTGCTCTAATAGAAATAAAATAGAAAAATAATAGAATAATGAAACCAGGTTTGGTTACTTTCGTGGTTTGTATGCACAAAATTTCATGTAAATTCTTGAACCTCTTTTTTTAACTTATATAAAAGGATTTCTAATTGGCATTAACAGTAGTCTGATTAGTATTGACTTTTACATTCCCGTTATTTTTGTATAAGGACACGGAAGTGATGGATCAAAAATGGATCATAAATCCTACTTCCTTAACATGACAAAATCAACAATAGTAAGATCTAGTAAAATAATCTTAGCACCACTGCCAGAGTAGGGAAGGGATATGACTTACCATGAACCTCAGAAAGAGGTGAGCAAAGTATTTTGGTACAGCATAGAGTTGTTTCTTAACTCTGCCTCTGTATTCCAGAAACAGAATGAGTGAGATGATGAAGTTCTTGGAATTGTCACTAATAAGTCCAAATCGGCAGTGAATGACATGAAGTATTGTGTTTATCTTTTGACTGTTCAAAATAATTGAAATGACTATTGGAGAGTAATAGGCCAAATGGAGGATGTGAGCAAATGGGCTTACTGTATCTGACAAAGGCCAATAAAACATTTTCCCATGGAATAGGATAGATACTGGCTTGATGGAGGAAATCCTAGTGTAAGACATTGAAGAGAACTTCAGAGCACAGGCGTACTGACAATGGGCCTATCCAGACTAAACTGGGCTCTCCTCCCTCCTTCACACCTTGAGTCTACGTAAAGATAGAACACAAAATATCTGCCTCACACTGGGGTTTATAGGTCAAAACCAGTAGGGCACAGATGCAGTGAAAGGGATGAGATAATCAACTATCAGAGAAAGCAAAAGGTTTGGCTAGAACTGCCTGTGTTATGCACAAGGTAAAAAATAAACGATCTGGCAATATGTGAATAAGTTGAAGGTAAAGAGGGAAAATAGAAGCTGGGGGAGAGGAGAGTGGAGGAGGTGGGAGACAGGAGCAGGGGGTGATTAACATTTAAATAGGAACCTCAGATCCAAGACATCAGGAGGAGTAGAGAGGGAATTTGGAAGACACAAGACTTCTAATTTCTTTAGCTTTCAGAATTGGAAGCCAATTGGTAGTGTCTTAAAGAGAAATTTGTAATTTAAAATGACTCCATTTTGATATCAAATCTTTTTCTAACTTGTTTCTTTACTATGTTATTTTCTACATTTATGTGACTTTAAGTAATTCCTCAGTTGCATTTTTTCTTGTGTTCCATTAAAGCAAAATTTGATAATTAAGACAAATTGCAGTATGATGCTTTTTCTAAAAGTATATCAATTCACCTATTGATACCTGTATGTACATACATGCATGTATGTCATATACATATATATCAAATAAAATTCATGAAACACCCTCACTATGTGACATGGACTATTTCTACTCTTCTTTTCTTGCATTTAAAAAAAGCTGTTAATAGGTTACAGCCTACAATTTGAAAAACAGTGCAATACACTTTGCTGCCTGTATTCACAAACCCTTTTGTTATTGTAAAATTTCATGATTTTTGCAGTGTTTCAGTTTGCTTTTATATTAGCAGGGCATGGGAATAGCCATTTGTTTCTTTGTCATCTTTACAATGAAATTATCAGGAAAAAGTCTGCCACATAATGGCATTTCAATAACAAAAACATGAGTGACTTTGAACACATAAGTTCTTAAAATATTGTGCAGTGATTTAAGTAGAGGGTTAAATTTTCTGACCTCTGAATCACAGTAGAGAGGAGGTGAGTTTATGGAACAGCATTTGGAGGCAAAGTCTGAGCGCTTATCAACAAGTTCTTCGAGTTCCGTGGCACTGGCATCAGGCAATTTTGCTCTTAATCTCTCTGCCAATCTGAAACACCATTTTTATGTAAGGTTTTACCAGATGTATTTTGTACACATTTGCAGTGCAAAATGACAGCCACTTTAGATCTTTTGCTTTTAAATTAGCAATAAAAGACAAAAACAAAAATAGTTGTCCTTTTCAAGGAAATCTTTGTGGAATGATTTTTAGTGACTCAGTTTGAGATAAGAAAGTGAGATTTCCATTTCTTTTTGAGATCATGAAAGTAAACATACAAATTGCTGCTGAATTTGAATTCCAGCCTTTCCCCTTTTGTCCACTCAGTCATATCACCATGGATAGATCCTCTTCTGTTCTCCCAGACCTTTCATCTTCTCTCCAGATCTTAATTTCAAGCTCCTTAAAGAATATTTCCCTTCTAGAACTTTATGCCATTTTAAAACTTTTTCTGTTCTCTCATATTTTACAGTTTCCCTCACTTCTCAACCAGCTGTGATGGAATACAAGGTAAGAAACTTTGGCTCCTGTCTCCAACTCTTCCACTAACTTGCTCTCCATATCACTTTTAAGACAGTGGTAGGACTTCTCTTGATTCCATCCTGGTTGGAGTGGCCTGTGACCTTGGTTAACTCTCTACCCTCCTCAGAGACAACTCAGGCTGTTTTTATGACTTTCTCCAAGAAATACTTGCCATCCCAGCAGTGGGAGGTAACAGAGACCCAAATTTACCTAGAATTGGGGTTAGTAAGGTAGATGCTGGGAGAGTACAAGAGGGTGAGATGGACTAATTTGTTCATAAAACTGTTATTGAAATGAAACTATCCCAGCTGGGAGCAGGGAAAAGTCAGACCAAAAGGAACTCAGGATGGGGATGGAACTGAAAAAGGGCATGGGGGTGTGGGATTCAAATACCGTTGCTCAGTTGTCTGAGTCTTCTCTAATTTAATAATATGAAATTAATTCTACATTGACATTTTTAATGCATCAATATTATATGAATCATCAATCATCATACAAGAATGTTAATGAACTATTGGCTAACACTTTTTTTAAAATCAAGTCCTTGAAGATATTGTAATTTATATTTTCCATGCAATCCTGGAGTTCAAAACTATTGGCAAAGTACTTAATCTTGCAATATCTGTTTTACAGTCTATACCAACTTCATAATATTGGAAAATTAATTATATAATTAATAAATTAACTGGGAAACAACCTTTTGAACTTCAGTTTTTCACAATTTTTCATTTTCTTTAGAGCTTTTTTAAGGCAGACTTCATGGACGTCATTGAAATAGGTGTTCTACTTTTGGGATACTTAAGAATTGTCTTTTTGTGGAGTTTGATTTGTGCTTACTTGAGACCTATGTTGATCAAGATGATTTGAAATAGATGTAAGAAATTCACTTAACAAAGTTGGGAATGATATGGTCTCAACAGAGACAGTAAAACTTCTTTCATTATTGCCTATTATTTTAGAGTTAACACTTATTAAGAAGTGCTTTCTTTTCTTCCAAGAAACATGCTATTGTTCAGCATTATTGATGGTTGACATGTGTATTTCCAATTTATAAAGAATACACGCTGGTGATCAGTAGCACTACACGTATGTCCTCTTGTCAGACAGAATGTCATGAAAGTTACCATTTTTCAGCAGTTTTATAGTTTCTCATTTAAAGCAGCATCTACAGATAGCTTTAGGACAAGAATGAACTATATGGGCCATCTTGGTATTTTTTGAATCAAATCCCTGCAGATCTTGTAAATCACACTTTTGGGGCTGTGTTCTAATGACCGCTCACCTGATATACACGTGACCTATTTTCTGCAGAACTCACTTTCTTCATACACAGAATGTAGATTCTGACTGCTTTTTAAAACTCTTAATCATACCTCCTTTTTTTATTGCTCAGTTAGCACATCATAAATCTTCAACTGTACTTCCAAATCACAATACCAGGCTAGTATTATTGATAAGTTTGGAGGAAACAGCCAGAACAAGTCCCTTACTTTTTCTTGTATTCAATAAATGTGTTCTCTGAATAATTTGCACACAGTTCTTGTCCTTTGTCAATGAAAGAAGATAGTTCCTTCTTCAGTTGAGGGCCCTGCAAGAAAACAATTACATAACAAAATTATTTGTCTTGAAACACTCTTCCAGGAGATGTTAAATCAGAATTCCATGCAATGTATCAGTAGGGGAGTTTTTCTATACCCGATATTGGCAAACATTATATGAGGCCAGACAGTATTTATTTTAGGTCTCATAAGCCATATATAGTCTCTGTTGTAATTATTTAACTCTGCCAATATGGTACAAAAGCAGCCATAAATAATGAGTATTGCTATATTCTTTTAAAAATTTTATTAAATTATCATTTATATACAACCTTAATATATGGCTATATTCTAATTAAACTTCATGATCACTGAAATTTGAGTTTCAAAAAATTTTCATGTGTCCAAAAAATATTTTTCAAACCACTTAAAAATGTAAGACCATTTTTATCTCAGGCCATGTACACATAGGCATTGGGCCACATTTTGTGTATCAGTTTGCCAACCCTTGATTTAGTCCAGCATTGGTAAGGACAATGTAGAAATAGTACCACTGCATTGAAACAGCCGGTAGAGTCTGCAGAATCGCAGCATTCGCCAAGGCTTTTCAGGGTTGGCGCAAGTATTTTACTGAGGAATACTTCTGGAACTTGATTCTTCCTACTTAGGCCAAACACATACCTGGCATGAGAGAGAAAGGAGATATTATTTAGCCTGGGTTGCTTTGTGTGTTTGTCATGTTTTGAAATTTGACGTCTACTATAAAAGAGCACCTGGCTTTTGCATCTTTATTAAAAAAAAGGTTTAGCTAAAACATTGTAACAGGTTTTGGATTTCAAACAATATTCCTATTGAAATGCAAACTATTAATAGTTGCATTGAAGTCAATACTGAATTGTGACTAGGTAATACTGAATTAAAGCTCTACTATACACACACACACATATCTATATAAGCATGTATCCACTTCACTTCATAGAACTGTCCTTTATAAAAATGATGAGTATTTAGATATAAATTAGAGTTTCAGTCTAAATTCTGCTTTATAATACTGGTAATTGATTTTCTGACCTGTTAATTCAAGCTTTGTGAAATATTTTTATACCATGAGTATGCATATACTGGTAGTATATGCAACTTGCAGTGTGTGCAACCCATGGTATATTTTAGTTCTTAGCTGAAAATGGATAAATGTTTACCATTCTGTGTAGTTTGTTATCTAATGCTGGTGAATATCAATACTGTCAAGAAAACAATTACTCAAATATATTTTACTCACTGATCCATGGCTTTGGTGTTTTCTTTGTCACACACATGTTTACTTGTGGGCAACTCAACATCTGGCAACTGAGGGGGCTGGGCAGCTGGCATGAAGTGAATGCACATAAAAATGTCCATGGGTGTTTTTTCTTCACAACAGTCCTTAAACTTAGAGTTCTTAGTAGATAAATTGTCACAGATTTTTACTGTGTATTCAGGCAGCTACAAAAGAAATTATGAGTTTGTGCATTACTAGTTTTCCTAGTTGGTCTAATTAAAATAAGGAAGGCTTACATAGGCTTATAAGCTCTGGAGTGGTATACATACAAGTCAGTATAAATGTTCTTAGGAAGTAAATTGGTAAAATATTTTTTGGAGAGCAATTTGTCAATAGGTACTAAGAGTCTTAAAATGTACAGTTTGACTTCTAAGAGCTTACTTCCAACAAACAATTATGGATGAAGGGAAAATTTAGCTATAAGGGCAAAGTTGTTTAAAATACTGAAAAACTGAAATAACCTAAATCCAATAGGAGACTGGTTAAATAAAAATATGGTATATCTAGGTAGACAGATACAGTACACACAATGCAGCTATACAGTAGAGTTTTACTTAGCCATTATAACTCAGGAGATAGAAAAATACTTACTAACACAGACATGTATTCTTAGTGGAAAAAAGACCAGGTAACATAACATACCTATTCCTAAAAAGGCCCACAGATGTGGAGTGACCTTTTCTAAAACAACTGTTCAAATTCTACTTGAGAGAATTATGTTAATGAAAAAGGGGGTGGTATTACCATTAAATTATAATAGGTATAATGGTTGCAGTGTCATCTAATGGAATTTTGTGATGATGAAATGATTTGTACCGGTATGTCCAATACTACTGGGCATTTGGAATGTGGCTAGTGTTACCAAAAAACAAGTTTAAATTACTTGAATTATACCTAAATATTAAATAACCATATGTGGCTAGTGGATACTGCATTGGGCTGTGTAGGTAGAGTAAGGTCTTGGGAATCAGATGATCTTGTACTTATGTATAGATTTTGCCACTTGTTGTGACTTTGAATTATTGATCCTTGCTAATCTTCTGTTTCCCCATGTGCAAAATGGAGTTAAATTTCATAGGAAGTCTGAGGATCCATTGAGATGGAGCATGTAAAAAGCAATTTAGAAGAGTGCCTGCTGCTCAGTACCTGGCATGTGATGAGGATGGTCATGATGGGGACCCTCTTACCTCCTTGGCCATGCAGTCCTCAGAGGTGGACTCACAGCACTTGGCGAGGATTGTGGTAACATCTTCAGCGAGTGGCAAAACATCCTCCAGATCAGCAGTGGGCACTTTCTGGGCTAGTTTTATGAGATGGCTAAACAGTTACAAATGAATCATTAGCTTACCCACATTCTTAGTTTTCTTGGTTTCATTATGAACATACAGTCTGGAGGAAACCACACTTTCAACTCTGGTCTCAATAGCTGCAAGGGGCACATCTGCTAAATGATGGGTCCTACGTATGGAAGCCACTATTCAAATTCAGTCATCCCCAATGAATATTTTCATATTTTTCAATACTGATATGCAGCTTTTCTGGTTGGATCTTCAGAGTTGGCAAATGCCTTTAAAATGTTAGATCTTAAACAGCAGTAAAGAAAACACTAATGTCTCTGTGCATAAGGCCAATGGTGTGCTTTTATAGCCCCTCATAGTCTTCTTAAAACATGTTTTTATAAATTCATTTAGAAACTACACATAAAAAAAATGAAGACCTACAGCCCTAGATCACAGAGTTAATAAATGTTGATGTTTTGGTGTATTACTTGAAGTATTTCATAAAGCTTACAAAGTATTAAGTATTTTAGAAGAAATTATGCTGTGTTCTACTCATTTTGCCTTTTTCACTTAATATATCAGGACTATGTTCTATGTCATTAAATATCCTTTTAAAATTGTGGCAACAAATATATAAAACAGGTTAAGATGACACATCTAATATTAAGTGCATAGTTCAGTAATGTTAAGTATAGTCGCATTGTTATATAACAGATCTCTAGAATCTTTTCATCTTGTAAAATTGAAACTACATCCTTTAAGTACTGATTGCTCCCCCTCACCACCACCACACCCCTTTGAAATGAGCTTTTAATTTTGTTTCTGTGATTTCAACTACTTTAGATACTATATATGAGTGAAATTGTACTATTTGTTATTTGTCCTTTTATAACCACTTAGTTCACTCAGCATAATGTCCTCAATATTCACCCATGTCGCAACTTGTAACAGGATTCTTTTTTAAGGCTGCATAAGGTTGAATTGTATCTATGTAAGTCTCTCTTTATCCCTTTATCTGTCAGTGGACATTAAGGTTGCTTCTACATCTTGGCTATTGCAAATAATGCTGCAATGAACATGGGTGTACAAATATCTCTTTGAGGTCCTGCTTTGAATTCCTCTTGACATATATATGCAAAAAGTGGGATTGCTAGATCATATGATAATTCTGTTTTAAACTTTTGAGGACCTCTCCATACTGTTTTCCATGATGGCTGTGTCATTTTTCAATCAATAGTGTACAAGGATTCTAATTTCTCCACATTGGTCAACACTATTTTACTATTTTCTGTTCTCTTGGTGGTGGCCATCCTAGTGGATATGAGACCTCATTTTGGTTTTGATTTGCACCTATCATGGGATTAATGATGCTGGACATCTTTTCAAATGCTTGTTGGACATTTATGCCTTTTTTTTTTTTGGAAAATTGCCTGTTCAGTTCTTTTTACTCAATTTATTTTTGTTGAGTGGTAGCAGTCCATTATTCATTCTGGATATTAAACCTTTATTAGATATATGACTTATAAATATTTTTTTCTCCTATTCTGTAGGTTGCCATTTTGCTTGACTGATTATTTCCTTTAATGTACAGAAATTTGTTTGTGGTCCCATTTGTCTCTGATTTTGTTGACTATACTTTGGTGTCATTTCTGGAAAATCATTGCCAAATTCAACATCCTGAAGATTTTGCCTATGTTTTCTTCTAGGAATCTTATAGTCTTAGGTCTTATATTTAGGTCTTGAATCCACTTCGAATTAATGTTAATACATGGTATAAGGTAAGGGTTTGACTTTGTTCTTTTCTAAGGAGATACCCAATTTTCCCAGCATCATTTGTTAAACAGACTCTTTTCCTATTGTGTAGTTGTGGCACCCTTGTCAAAAATCCTTTGGCCAAATACAAGGATTTGCTTGAGACCTCTATTCTGTTCCATTGGTCTGTATCTTTTTATGCCAGTACCACAGCATCTGGATCACTGTTGCTTTGCAGTATGTTTTGAAATCAGGAAGTGTGAGCCCTCCAAACTTTTTCTCAAGATTGTTTTGGCTATACAGAGTCCCTTGATATGCCATATGAATTTAAGGATGCTTTTTTCTATTTCTGCAAAAACATTGCCTTTGAGATATTGATAGGGATTGCACTGATTTTTATAGATTGCTTCGGATAGTGTGGATATTTTAACACTATAGTTCCAATCCATGAGCAAGAAATGTCTATTGTATTTATTTTTGGCTGTTTTTAGCAATGTTTTTTAGTTTTCATTAAATATTTTTTTATATAACAAACTCTATGGCATTATCTCATATGGATATATCATAACTGATTTAAGTATTCTCTATTCTAGGAACATCTGGGAAGTCTTTTCTGTTTAAAAACTGTGGCTAATATTTGTATCTAAATCTTTGTTCATATTCAGTGCTATTTCCTTTTGAGTAAATTCCTGGAAACTAATGTAAGTATAAATTAATGACTAAGATATATTTTTATAGGTGGCTTTATATTATAAGTCTCTATGTTCTATTTGCCAAATACACTATCTTTATTCAAAAGTAAAGCTAAAGGGAAGGTCTAGAGAAAATGCCTTTTAGTATTTTAGTGGTTCTAATGGAAGATTATTTTTAAAGGACTCATGAAACGACTTTCTATTAGGGAATTTTAGGATCTGGTGCCAGCACAAAATAGATTATTTCATTACATTACAGGGGAAAAAAATCTTCTGGATCAGAATAAAAGGAATTAAAGAGATTAGGTATACTGAAAAGATAAAGCTGACAAATCTAGATGTCTGGGAGACATATGAAAGAAGCATAAACATAGAAACTATCAAAATAAAAAAACAGAATTAACTGCTATATGAAAATAAAAGTGAAGGTTAAAAATAAAGTAAATAAGTAATTGGAATAAACCCATGAAATTTAAGAGATACACTGTGTAGCACAAAGCATCATATAACAAATAGTTTGGGAAGTCTCTTCCCAAGAAAACTTGGGCAAAGTAACAGGTGATGAAAAAAAAAAAGCTTTATTTTTCCTTTGTGGTTGTAATATATGCTAAATGAATATTGAAGGAATAATGTTTATAGTCCACCATTTTCCCATAAGAATGTATGGAAAAGGTTGATTAAAAATAAATTTCATGTTTTGCAATGCAGACTTCTTCCTTATTGCTCATATTTTGCATATAGAAAAAAAGTGGGTCATATTTTTGAGAGTTGTGGAGTGTGAGAGTATACACTACACCTCCTATTATCAACATTGTCTTAAAGAATTCTAATAGTATGGATAAATAGTGCACAATCAATTATCTAAGCATGGTGCTTAAACTTTACCTGAGCCTTGATTTCTCCTTTCCATAAGCAGCATATTGTGAACAGACTCTACTTGACATGGTGGTGAGAAGTGATAAATATTTAATCTGGAGTCTCTAGAAAATAAGTGACAGAATCTCATTAGATAATCAAGATTCATTGAAAGCGCTACATATGAAAGGCAAAAAGAGACTATGATCATGACTTTTTGATCACTAGAAAACTGAGTCCGAACCAAAGGAACTTACTGATGTTTCTTTACCAGAAGGGACTGTATATTTTTTCATTTAACAAAATGCAAGAAAGGCATTTTAGGAACTTACTGATTCCAGAATGTGCACTTCTACCATTATTTAAGTGGAATGACTTTAAAAGAAGGAAAAAAATAGACTATAACTATGTAATAAAATGATACTTACCTCTCTTAAAAAGCATACTGTTGGGCTTGGTGAGGTGCAGCAGGACCCCACCATAGAGAGATAACTCTTGGTGTAACTGACTAAAAGTGACAGAGGAGCTTGTCCATAATTAATTGAATATTCATACATAAATCTGTGGGAAGGAAAATAGGATTGGTTAAAATATGTGTGGGGAAACAAAATCGGCTTTTTTTGTATTTTGAGAAAGAATGTATATTACATTAGCTTAATATCTAGAAAGCACAAGGATTTAAAGATAGAATTCTGGTCACTATTTAAAATTTTGAAAGGCTGTTCCCTGCATTTCCATCTGGATTACTTTAAAGGAGGGGCCGTTTGTTCATTTATTCATTTAATACCTATGAGGTGCATGGCCCGTGGTAGCTGCTTATTGTTGATGGAACAAATTTAAATGAATGTAATGGGTTTACCTTTCATTATCTATCTCAGTTTACTATTCTAGACAATTGCAGTGTAAAAGTTTGCTTATTTGTTGAAATACTGATTTGGGGGAGCATAAGCCCTAAAGGCTTAAAAGGAACTCTGAAATCTTTGGCAAGATTTCTGAAAATGTACAGGGATGGGCAAGTCAACCAATTTTTATAAAATTATGACCCTGATTTCTTTTAAAGTCAATTTGAATGACATTGCTTTTAACTTTTATATATACATTTTTCCATTGTTTACAGATTTTCCCCCTTTTTAAATTATCTTCTAAGACTAATATAAAGAATCAATATATGATCTGGCTCCTCATAGGTGTTAAGCAATGATAAGGTCAAAGTAATATGTTATGTGGTACAACGTGTCATGTTCACAACTATTTCTGGAGATGTGTTGTAGGAATGAAAACTATTCTTTGTTTTGCTGGAAATATTTAAAATGCACAGCAATACAATTATATCAGAGGGAATATGCAAGGATCCCTAGCATAAGTGGGGATCGTAAGAGCTGCTGTCCTTATGTCCTATACTTGAACATTAGGTGGACAGGAGACACATGGAATTCTGCTTCACATAAGAGAACTAGGACGAATGAGCGGGACTTCTGATTTCCTCTCTGTCTGTCTGAGAAGTATATTTACAACAATTACCACTGACAGATGGGTGAGATCGTAGGTGAGAGTCAAGTGGAAATTGCCTGGGTTGCTGTGGAAGAGATGTTTGGGTAGAATAGGGGGTTAGATCAGACATACTTCTGAGATTTTATGCCCTAATTAATGTTTTACTTATGATGAAACCTGCTTACTGCTCAGCAAATCCCTTGGGATCTTTCCTGAATGCCTCACAGATTTCATCATTTGTTGGTTCTACATAGGTAGGAAATTCTTGCGGCTGGTGCTTCAGGGCAGCCATGCAGAGTTTCTGCTCAAGGCCCTCTTTGGTGCAGCACTCAGCCGTTCCTGGATGGACTGGGTATGGAGAGTTTCTTTCACAGGACTTGGCAGACAATGCTGAGGTCTAGAATGACAGAAGAAAATCAAGTTAACTTGTAAATGCAAGTTTCCAGGCTTGTAGTTCTCCATTCAGTAAAACATGTTAGTCTTAAATTTTAAAAATTCTCATTAAACTGTCCACACTGAAAGCTCCATGAGATGATCTGTTAACATAAATTACATAATGATAGGCAAATACAGGGTCTTATGTTAATGAATGGCTGAGTAGGAACTTTCCTGAACAAGTGGACTGTGTTTGCAGCCATTAGAGGATTTATCCTCTAGCAGTGTTTCTCCATGAAGATACTAACATCTCTGAGGATGAGGGAGGTCATTTTAAATCTCCATGTGTGAGCCTGAGAGGATCTGCTACCTGCTTTCTGTTGCAGACCCCATTGAAGAGGAGGGCCTCCCTCTGTCCTCTTCTCCCTGTATTAAATGAGCAGACTCTTACTAACTTGACTGTTTTAATCTTTGACATTGGTTTGTATTCTTACCCAGTGGTTCTTGGGCCTGCTTTTGTATTAGAATCATAATATGTAGAAAGTACCTGAGCTACACAATGCAGAAATTGTGACTCAGTAGGTCAAAGATGAGTCTTGAGTCTTGCTTTCCCCAGAGCCCCAACATTTATTCTCATGTACAGCACAGAACGAAAACGCTGCTGCAATTTAATTGACCATCTCAGCACTGATCTGCTTGTACATGTGGGCAAACTAAGCCAATGGTGAGAGTGTCACCCAAACAATCATAGCAACAAAATGTTGTTTGGGGGAAGAATTTGATATTTGGAATGAAAATGTAGAATAGAAATTATCATCATGGAAAAAATTTGGGATTTACATGGGGACAAGTACTTTGACATTTTTAAACTTATTTTTTAACTTTGTCATCTTTTTAAGAAAAAACTTCTAAAGATCTTTCCTATCAATATGGAAAACATAATGAATCAGTTATGTGAACCCGTAGACATCTCATTCTCTCCCACAACTACCTTCCATCACTCTAAGAATTTAGGGAATGTAGTTCTTGGTGGGACAAGATGAACAAAAAATTCTTAGTAGATAAGGGCTAGATAAAGCAATTAATGGGTAAGAAAATCATTGTTTAGAATATATTCTAATCAGGTCTGTGGAGTAGTTAACAGCTGCAGGCTTGAGCAGGGAGGCATTTTTCTGTAGAGGCCCTTCTCAAGGAGCATCTAATGTCATTTGCATTGGGTCTGACGACTGCATTAGGAAATTGCTAGGAACACCTGTGGTTTCACTTTTTTGAGCTATGGTCTGTATTTTGAACCTCATCGTTTCAGCATTTTAATTTCTGCATATATATTTTAGGGAACAAAACCTGAAACCTAATATATATAGGGCAACTTTCAACCCCAAAGTGGTTTAGCCAACATTATATTACTCTGGGGTAGTTGGTACCAGTCTTGGAATGCTAAAAGCCTATCTACATCCAAACCTTTAAGAATGTATTAGAATTATTTCAAAAGGTTCATGAATCAAAGTATGACTGTTTTCTGATTCGAACCTTGTAGAACTAATAGGCAAAATTGATTAATTATGTGAACATAAGTCTGGGCTGTAGGGATAAATGCTTCCTATTTTCCCCAAACCTGGGGTAGACGGAGTGGCAAAGCTTTCCCCAAGATTCGGCTTTAAGGCCAGTGTTGGCTTCCTTCTATGGGCTACGGTAGACATGGCCGGCCATTCAACCTACCCTCTCATCATAGCAGTCAGGGTCGGCCCCTTCCGCACAGCAGGCTTCTGTCAAAGAGACAACTTCTTTCACGAGGTGACTGATCTGGTCAAATGTGCTACTGGGAAACTTTCTGCTGTACAGGACCATTGACCTGAGGGGCAAAGCAAGTCAGTATGTTTAAAATTTAAAAATTTTATAATTGGACATAATAGGAAGTCCAACATTTTTAAAGGAATATTGTACACATTTTCTTGATTAATAGAAAGAAATTTTTGTCCTAGGTAAACCTACCTTGTAAAGCAGTAGGAAGAGGATTTGGGAGCCTCAGATTCTCTTTCCTTTCTTCAGCCCTCCAAACAGAATTGTTCTGAACCTGGTTACCTTTGTTTATTAGAATCCTAACATGTACTATCTGAATTTTAATTTACCATAGAAAACTATGTTTACTTATTCTCTTTTAACTCATTAATAAACATGACAAGTTCTTAGACCATAGGAACAATAGTTTCACTGATTATCTTTTTATGTTTTCTACTCACCTGACATCTCTGCCCACATTGACCATGGGGCTCTTTCCTCTTTATGATGGTAGAGATCAGTTCAGTCAGACTAAAGTTACCTAAAACGTAGTTTCATTCAGGGTCACGATCAAGAGAGTGAGAGACTACATCCTACTTACAAAGATGCGAAGTCCTCTTTTCCCAGACTGGCAAGTTCCTTGCAGACTTTCTCCTTTTCATAATCTCGGCCTAGGAACCAGAAATAGACTTGTTTGTATCTTCTCCTTATTAATGAATTCTCTTAGGTCCTATCTTTATAATAAAACCAAAATGGGACTTTACCCCTCCCTACTTCCTTTAGAAAGAATCTTCTTTAGATATCTTCATTAGATATTCCTAGATATCTTCATCTAAGCCTTTGAAAGAAACAACTGAAAGTACATGGAGTATGTATCTCCATCCCCAAGGGACGAGCTTCCCCACTAATGTGGGACTTCAAAGGAGCTGTGTGAGAGCCGGGGTTGGCCCCCTTGCTCCATTACCCACCTTCAGACTCTGTGAAGGGAAGCTAGGAATTCAGCTAAGGGAAAAGATGGAAATTAGGCAAAATATTCTTTTGGAGAAAGTCATCAGTATGGTGGGTTTGGGGGAATGGTGGAAAGTGCTTCCCCTCACCTCAAGCATAGTGAGAGGGGCTTCAAGGAAGACACAGAACTTGATAGGTGACCCTTGGAGTTTGGGGTATCATGGACAGGTGTCTGATTCAGATTAAAGAAATCTAAAGGGTGAAAGAAGCTCGTTAAGTGACCTGGGGCAACAAAGGAAAGGGCTGTAAGTGAAAAGCTGTGCTGTGGCCTGTGGACCTGATGTTAATCAGGCAGGATTAGAGACTGGCCTGCAGTTGTCTTAAACGTGCCCACTCCCCTCCTCCAAGGGCCATGTAGAGGTCGGTGAGCTGTTCTCAGTGGGACACCTCTGAGCAGAGGCAGGCAATCTGAAATTCAGAGGGCCAAAGGGAAGTCTTAAGGCACCATCTGGATGTGAGAGATCTCTGAAGAAGCCACAAGAAATGTCACATCTCCTATAACCAGAAGGAAACAGTAGCTGCCCATTGAATTAGTTCTCCCTTCAGCTTACCTCTCCTGCTGGCCTCTTCCTTCCTTGAAAGAGCTAAAATCAGTCTAGAGAGTAGGAGGAAGGAGAAGAGAAGAGGCAGAGGAAAGTGTACATGTCTTCCTTTGCCACCACGGGCAACAGCACGGAACAGGCCTGATCTGGACCAACAGCTTCAACATTAAATGAATTTAAGAATTTTTGACTATTAAACCAGACATCCCCATGACTGTATAAGGATGTTCAAAAGGACCAGAGGACTTTTTGAGTGAATAGAAAAATCATAGAACCCACTCTTAAGTCTATTCAAGTGGTTGGGAAGAGCGGGTTCCCACCGGAGATGAGTTCTTTGTTGATGCTGAGACCCGTCTGTCCAGCACGTCTACTACATGGATGAAGGGGTGGAAGCATGAAGGGCAGCCAAAGTCTTCCTTCCCTGATTCACCATTTATGCAAGTAAATCTAGGAAATTTCTCAACTATTTGTTATCTTTTGAGGAAAACAGAAGTATATAATGGCCCAGTTTCTTTTCTTTGGTAAGTGTTTTTCACATTTAATAACCTTTCCTCCTGGATTTATTATTGGGAAATCCACCTTGGGTCAGGCAGCGGTTGTCATGCCTTTACCTCTCACCTCTGATGGTTAAAGCTCTGCAGAAGAGTAAATATACATAAGCTAGGGTAGAAATTCTTAGTTTGGAGTGGAGGTGGTTGGATACGGGCTGGGGAAGGGTGTGTGTGTGTGATCTTTTCCTTTTAAAAAGGTTCTCTTTAGGATTTTTTAGATTGAGTGGTGAAAATGCCTGATACTGGTGAAAACTTCCAGTAGAGGAAGCTGTTGCCCCATAACTTCCAGGTAGACTACTTGAAGTATATTACTGAAGGGAAAAGAATCAGAATTGAGAGATAAAGACATTCTTAAGCAACACTTTATAATAAGGGACCCATTCAAATACCATCAAAGTCACATAGAAGGTAGAAAATAACTTGCTCAAATCCCACATTTTCTTGGAAATTAGCACAAGACAGTAGGATTGATAAACCTAATAGCCAATGGAGTATAAAAGCCAATTGCAGTGAACCCCTATTATATCTGAAAACCTTCACATCTAGTACATTTTCTGGAATTTATTGACTAGTTTACAAGGTTGGATATTGTCACAGCTTCAAAAGGTCAAAATTAGTTAGAAAACTTCCTTTAATCACTAATGTTATTCGATGGAACTGAAGATTAGGACATATAGTATAAGAATTTAGGGTAGAGCTGTCCTCCCATAGTGAAGAGATGTACCATTAGGATGTCAATAGACTTGTTTTATGTTGATCCTAAGGTAGAGCTGGGAAAAATGGCTGGTGGTAGATTTTACCTCAATGGGGGGGGGGGGAATTTTATAGTAAGGCTAACTAATAACTGAAGTGATGAACAACCTTTTGAAAAAATGAGTTTGTTTTGTCCTGAAAATATTCAAATAGAGTTTAACCCTATATACTAAGGATTCCTGAATTTAGTACAAGATTGTATCCTCACAATCTTTAAGACAACTTCCAAGGATTATAAAAATAATCCTTTTAAAAAAAATTTCATCCAAAGAGATCTATAAGTTATAAGGCTAAGCAAATATGTATGGAAAAATTATATGGAATCTTTATTCCCAAAGCTTATGTGTTTTTAGCTACAAAAAAATAGCTCTAGTAAGTTCTTTCTCTTCTTAATGCAAAGGAGTTAACTTTTAGTAAACTCTCCTTATAAAATTGAAGAGGTCATATTCAAATGGGGTACCTTAGACCACTTAAAGAATTAATTGTTACTAGCATTCCAGATTCAGATTTCTCACTTCACCAAGAAAGAATTTCATTCAGGATGTATGTGTATGGGGATGTGTGAGTGCATGTGAATGTAGCGTAAGTGGACCCTGCAGATTATCCCGTTAAATAGCTTTAACTAAATCAATTAGTATTTGCACAGAAGTACATTAGAATCCATGGGTTTTAGGCTTTAGTTAGAATGAAAATGGTAACAGGAAAGTGAGAAACTAGATATGCTACAGATACGAAATGATTCTGGAGTCATTTTTCCTGTAACATTCAGCCTAGAGCATGACAGAAGCAAAGGAGGAAACCTAAAGGGAGGCATTCTGAAAGTTCAGACTTAAATATAAGGCTAAAACTGCTCTTAGAAAGTAACCTACAGAGGAAGCTGTTGTACCATGTATGTTTCAGGGGACTATTCAAAATATATTTGATTTAAAAAAAAATCTCATCCAAAGATATCTATAACTTATAAGGCTAAGCAAATATGTTAATCATTTTCTCATCTTCTGAAAACAACAGATACTGAGATAATTTGCACTGTGATTATTACAAATTGATTCCTCATTCCTTGGCATATAGCTTAACAAATGTTTTCATGCCAGTTGAGCTCACTTTGAATCACAGGATTTAATTATATTATGAGCGGTTTATGACATACTGTTCTTTACTGTGCCATGTGGTTATAAAGAAGGCAATCTGGACTTTGATACAGCCCCAGTAAATATTGGCATAATCCTAGTGACATTGGTGAAATCATTTTCACATCAAGTGACCCCTCTGGGGTAATGTTTACAAATTTCATTAACAGAATTTTTGGTTTTTGCAATAGCATGTCCATTCCATCTGTATTGTGAAACATTCTCGTAAGTCTGTGTCTAATTCTGGACTTAAGAAAACAAATTAGACTTACTTTCAGGAAATCTTTACTGCTCCATGCACTTCACCTCTTCCAGCACAGCTGACAATATTCATTCATACATGCAACAGATGTGTTCTGAAGACTTACTCTGAGCCAGGCACTGGATTCAGAATTGAATATGCAATGGAGAGCAAAATAGACCCATCTCTCCCCTCACGGAACTCTGAATCTAGTGGGGATAGATAATAGGACACTCTCTTGGTACAAACTTTGCTAAAAAGTATATTTGAATGCTGAAACTATTACTGTTAGAATTTCTCTAAAACCAATTTGGTCCCCTAGAGAAACTGTTTATATGCCAGGAGCAGTGGAGGGACCCTAAATTAACACTGAATTGAATAAATGCTTATACAGGATGCTAAGAACTGCCCTAAGTTCCTATTTCTCTGTTGTGTTCTGGAGAATTATGGGTTTTCAGAGCTGTTGGGCATTCTGTGTTTTTGTAATTTCATTAGTTTGGCATTCTTATTTATGTTCTTCCCTGATGCATTTGTGTCAGAAAAGGTCAGTATATTTGATGTACATGTGTGTTAAATTTTAAGAATATAGTTTGTAATGTTCATACTAGTCAGCTGGTTATTGATTTCAGACTAATGGTTTTACTTGAGAAATTAAACATTGTGCTAGGCTGGTTTAGGAAGCTGCCCTGGTGTTTGGAAAAAAAACTACTGATATATCATTAGAAACACTGCTAAGGAAGAAGTGTTATTTGAACCGATAATCTCTCATTTCATTTTTCAGACACATATTGGGTCTCATTTCCATTGACATGCTGAATCATTATTATATAAAGCATTGATCTGGTTTTTCATATTGATGTATTGATATATGCAGGCAGGTGTGTTGTTTCCTGAACTTGAGTCAATGGAAAAAAATTCAATTTTTTAAATACTAAATCTAGAGCCCTACATGACAACTATACACTAACCAATCTAGAAGAAATTAATGTACTTCTTAGGATGCCATCAGTGGAACAAATGGAGCTTCATTTCAGATTTTCAAAATTCAAAAATGGTAGAAGATACAGGGTCATTGGGTCAGTTGCCCAGAAACTACAATGGCCGTAGAGGGTGACTTCATAGATCCACTCACGCATGATGTCATTGGGTTCATTGCCGGTGGTAGTCTACACAGATGTGAACACTAAGTCCCAGACAAGTCTTCCTCCATGCATATCATTCCACCTCCTCTCCCCTTCACATCTTGTTATTTACAAATGCTTTTGTAGGGTGGAGATAGGGGAACAAGTTTCCCTCTTTCACCGTTGGAATGAGTGAGGATGATACCTTGTGCATATTGATGTGGAAATGGAATGCATTGCAGAGCTTAGTTTTTAAAGCAATATAAGAAAAATGCACCATGCAAAAGAAAATATGAAGCCACCAATACTTCAGGAACTCAAGTCT